TGTTTCTAAATGAGTTCGTGGGTTTCAGTATCTCTTTTATTCCTACTTTGTTAAAAATTCAAAGTAAGGTTTGACCGATTCCTTCCTTGTATGAAAACACTGCTGGTGCTTCAAATTCCATACCGTTAGTATTGTTATCTTCCTGCATACTTCCCAATTAATTTGTCAGAGTAATAAATAAGGCTCAAACCTCCACTTATATTTCTTACTCCCTGCTTTACATTTTCTTTGGTACTGTCTAGTATTTCGCTCTACTACTTAAGCTTTCACCAATTGTATTTTCAAAGACGTGTGCCGGGGTGAACTGAAGTTAAAATATTGGTTTGAACGTATGGTTTTTCTGTAAATATTAGTGTTCAGCTTCCAATCTTCTTTCTTTTATATGAGACAATCTACCACTGAGAGTTCCTCTTCATAACTTTGCAAACCTACTAATCCTACGACGAATGGGAGAGAAAAACTCAGGTTTCGAAGTTGTGTAATTATGATTCATGATATGATTATGAAGAACAATAAATTGTGTTTGAAACCTCGTCATTCAGCAAATAATACTCTTTTACGTTATGTGTCATATATATCCAGAGATTTTCTGTGATACTCTTGGGTTGGCTGGCTGTTACTGATTTAGTTGCAATGACTGAAGGTGAAATGGAGATCTGGATCACGAATGGATCAGAATATTTTCCTTGGAACAATTTCACTTACGCTGATGTGCAATCGTATTTATGTGTGAATAACAAGAGACAAATACAAGTTCCAAAAGAATGACTACTGAAAAAAATATCCTTCTCGATAACTTCAACAACAGGCTCTACAATTATTTATACATAATAGTCAATTAATTAGCGTTATTAACAAAATTAATGTTGTTTAAATAACAGCGAATCAATAATAATATCAGTGGATTACAGTTCAATAGCATCAACATAACAATAAACTGAATATCAGACAGGAAAATTAGGAAAGATAATGATACAAATTCATGAATTTATAGTCTCCACTGAAAGCCGGTCAGGGAAGCAGTATTGTTTGGACCTATTGCTTCTGTACATAGAGCACCGGTTGTTCTAGGTGAATTGCAATGGCCTCTGCTGTTTACAGCATGTCATACCTGGATGTTTTCGACAAATTGTCTGGTACCCAGTAGATGATGGAGAAGGATTCTTCAATTCTGGCTGGCTTTGTGGCCGGTTTGGACTAGGTGAATTTGATATCGAACTGTTGAAGGTTTTTACTAGACCTTTATTTAGTCACACTGGTATAATAGTCTTCCTAGATGTTCTCCTTACAAGAAAACCAGATGGTAGTATAAAGAGAAATTTGCATATAAAATAACATAAATTGTTTGAAGAATACAATTTTGTACATTTCATTATTAAAAAGACCAATCTTTATACTACCATCTGGTTTTCTTGTAAGGAGAACATCTAGGAAGACTATTATACCAGTGTGACTAAATAAAGGTCTAGTAAAAACCTTCAACAGTTCGATATCAAATTCACCTAGTCCAAACCGGCCACAAAGCCAGCCAGAATTGAAGAATCCTTCTCCATCATCTACTGGGTACCAGACAATTTGTCGAAAACATCCAGGTATGACATGCTGTAAACAGCAGAGGCCATTGCAATTCACCTAGAACAACCGGTGCTCTATGTACAGAAGCAATAGGTCCAAACAATACTGCTTCCCTGACCGGCTTTCAGTGGAGACTATAAATTCATGAATTTGTATCATTATCTTTCCTAATTTTCCTGTCTGATATTCAGTTTATTGTTATGTTGATGCTATTGAACTGTAATCCTCTGATATCATTATTATTATTATTATTATTATTATTGATTCGATGTTATTTAAACGGCATTAATGTTGTTCATAACACTAATTCATTCATTCATTATTATGTATGTATATATAACTGTAGAGCCTGTTGATGAGGTTATTGAGAAGAATATTCTTTGTTCAATAATCATTCTTTTGGAAACATTTTAATAAGCATTTTTAATCAGTTACAAGTTTATTCGTTTTCTGTGTGTATCTATGCATGAAAATCTGATAAAGAGTGGAAATATTCAAGCGTGAGAATAATATTGACTTAGATACTTATGTATCACAGATTGTGGTGAGAAATTTGAAGAAATAAAGGAAAGTCAGCATAAAGTTGAATTCTTCTTTCTACTCTTTGCTTTTCAAGTGGAACATAGGGCTTCGTGCTTGACGTTTGAAGTTTTAGTAGAGGTTTAGTAGGTTTTCACCGGGGGGGGGGGGGGGAAGGGGTGCTGCTATCCTCACACTCAACATTCCCACTTTTTCAAAAATCATCATCGAACAGAGCAGAATAGAATGACAGTCAAGCCTGTAGCTCAACTTAATCAACTTTGGAAAGGCCTTCAACGAAGTTGACCATGAAGTAGTTTGGAAATTGTTTCAACACTATGGAGTGTTCCAAACGTTTTTCAACCTTATTTTAACTTTAAAATACTTGTTTTCTTTTGTTGGCGGCTAACATTGAAATACAGATACACTCAAATGACGAGTTTAACATAAAAAAATCATTAATAAACAGAGATGGAGAGAGAGAATAGGACATAGTTTTTAATTAAAAATAACTCTTCACTTACTTTTTTCATGCCTTCATTCGACATTTCACCTTTATTATAAACATAATTTAATAAATCAAGGAAGGTATTATTAGATTTATTAGATTTCTCATCTTGTATCCAATTTAAACTACGTTTCACTGAAGCATGCCAACCAGCTAACATAACATCTCTATCGCTTGAATTAATTTGTGGACGAAACACTGAATTCTCCTGATCCTGCTTATTTGTATATTGACGAATTTTTAACAATCCAGATGGATCGACATGCAGAGCTACAGCGACCATAATAGCTACACCTAATGCCGTCATTATATCAGAATGATTATGACGCCGAACATTCATATCTGTGTAAAGTGGTGAATGAGAAAAACAAAACAGTAGTATGAATGCATATTAAAAGCAGCCATATTAGATAATATTTGATAGTGTGGAAAATTCCCATATTATGAATTAAAAGTCAATCTGAACGAAGAATATTCTTTTCAATAATTTCTCTTCAGGTTCCTACAATTATAAAATATAATATTAGTTGTCGTTACAATAAAGGCCAGTAATGCGGCAGATACATTTTTAACGTAGAATAACAGATTAGTTATGTTTGGGGTGTCAAAATAAATAGTCGTATTTGTGTGACAAACGTGCTAGGCTGAATTCGATTACAAAATATTGTAAAATGGGAGACAATGGTGATTAATCATAATAGATTTGTAGAGTGTGGGGTAGGAAAAACTGACAAGTCAGTTCAAGGTTATAAAAGGTGTCAGGTGAGTGGCTAGTACAAAGTGGTCTGTGTTAAACAGGAGATAGTAAGACTGCAATTGGAGGTTCATAATGAGATAACGAATATGTGAAATGAAACAGGTGGAGGCATATATTGAGAAAAGAGATAATATCACTAATAATAAGTCCGGATAGTGTAAACGAAAAAGAAAATTCGATAGTATTGAGAGAATGTTTGCATGAAGGGCATAAATTATGACGAATAATAATAATATTAATAATAATAATTGTAATAATAAGCAAAGGAAAGAAAAAAAAGCCAAGAGGGTTAAGGGGAAGGAGCACTCTTGGTGAGAAGAAGAATCATCAATCCAAGTTTGGCCACGGTAGGAACAGCGTCTGGACGTGTTCTTTTTGGATACAAAGTTCCGGTTTAGTCGATCTTATTGCCACAGCTTCAGCTATGTGTAGAAGACGTAAGCGAACTGTACGTGATAACGACTTCGAAATTCGGTATATAACCCTGAAGGCTGTGTTGACATCGATATGATGTCCAGTATCGACCAAGTGTGACAGGATCGAGCTTTTTATGCACTTAATTTCCCCCCTGCTGAACCCCACACTCTACAAATCTATTATGATTAATCACCATTGTCTCCCATTTTACAATATTTTGTAATCGAATTCAGCCTAGCACGTTTGTCACACAAATACGACTATTTATTTTGACACCCCAAACATAACTAATCTGTTATTCTACGTTAAAAATGTATCTGCCGCATTACTGGCCTTTATTGTAACGACAACTAATATTATATTTTATAATTGTAGGAACCTGAAGAGAAATTATTGAAAAGAATATTCTTCGTTCAGATTGACTTTTAATATTAGATAATAGTCTAGTAAAGTAGACAGCATTAAAATAATTCATAAGATACAATCTAATCAGTGGATTAGATTGTTAGTAGATTAAACAGTGCAGGTTTGCACTGACCGGAAATCGAACCCAAACCACGTGAATATCACGTAACCATTTTATCACTGAATTACCGACTCTTCTTGTCAGTGACTATGCCATATTGAAAACACTAATTGTCATCTAATTAGTGAAGTAAAGCGACATGGATGTACGCCTGTGAATATTAGATGCTTCCATCTTTAATTTGACTGGGATAGAGGTTTCGCCCAGTGTGAGACTACATACAGTTCTAACCTTGCAAATGGCTAGACTGAATGTTGAGTTCTCCTGAAAACCAATTAATAATTACCAAGTCAATGGATTTATCACAAATTCAAACAACTACAATAAATTCTTCCTTAGTCACAGCGAATAATTGTAAATGCTTTCTTTCAGCATATAGATTTTGTCACAAACAGAATCGCTGAAAATCACTGAACACTAAATAGCTATTTCATCCAATATCAGGACTCTGCAACAATGCACACTCCATGACTCCACCAGGAATCAAACCCGAAACCATTAATTCCCTCTTTAGTCTCACCGTTTCCTCTCCCATTCAAGTGAAAACTATAAACAATCAATAACAATGTATTTTCATATGCAATAATGAACCCATTCTCAAAGACATTTCAAAAGAAGTAAAACCAGATTATGAATCTTTGTAATCAACAGAGATTCCAAAATAAATCCCGCATTGCATTTATTTTATATTAATGGCAAAGTTCTACAATAGAGTCCCAAGGAACGAACGCACAAGTGACCTTGAGCAGACCAGTCAGAAAAAAGGATGATTTTTGCATAAAATCTTACGTATATTTACATATAAAAGCATAAAAAACGTTAAACAGGATATTTTTCTCTAATATGAGATAAAAATATCTCCCAATTTTGTATTGGGGTTTCAGTTTTTAAGTTGAACCAATTTCTATACATGTATTCATCCAGATGACTAAAAATAACTTGGTTTTGAAAACCATTTATAGCTTTTATTCTATTTTTTAATCTTCCCCAGAAACCTTCGATGGAATTATTATGAGTACCGGTGACAGGGTCGACGGAATCATTCGAATGGTTCACTCTATGATGTATATATCCCAATTGTGATATTTGGCTATATTCCGCCCATTCATCTGTGTGAATGGTGGTGCCTGGTAACACTAGACGCTGAATAATAGGGAGGAGGAGTGTATGAGCACTCCTATCTAGAATCAGCTCCATAAACCCTTTGCGAATCTAGGTATCATAAATTCCTAAAACCCAAACGTTATTCGCTTTGGCACCCAGTAAGTGGACAGAAAGAAGATATTCAGGCAAAGTTAAACTTTCGACACCAATAACAACCAATCATCAAAGACAGTTTCAACTTTTCAAAGAAAGTTCCTAGAAGACAATTAATTCAGTGTCGCTTACCAGTATACACAATTATTCGCGCTAGAATAATGGTGAGCTTCCTCAACCAATAACTAGAATGCGTTCAGGGTCATTGGCACATTTACAATCTTGGGACTCTATTGTTGAACTTCGCCATATTAATATCGCATTGCGGATTGATGTATGATACAGAATTTTTAAAATTTGTGGCATGCCAGACACCTTTTTTACATCCAAGTTTGAAGTCATTCAGCCAAATACAGAAAGGGATCTGATTTGAAACAGTTAAGTTTTGAAGAAATGAAATCATTATCTAACCACTAGACTACTAGTGGTTAGTGGCCTACAGTTTTCTATCTCTGCCTATTCTCAAAATGACAGTTTTGACAATACGTGTGTTTTAAATTTGGTTGAGACGGATATCCATTAAGCCTTTGTTTTCAGTAGTTCCCCGTCACTTTTGACCGAGTTACAAAATCTTTCATCACACTAATCAAATAGCAACAAATGTGGCAAAAGAATGTTTTATTTATCTGATGGTGGTTAGCAGTGGAATTCAGGCAGGGCGTTTCTTCCTGTTTAGGACTCGTCACCAGGATGCACTTGCTTCGTAGTGAGTGATGACACTCCTACGGAGACTAAGCTCATATTGCACTTCAGACACTAAATGCCGAAATGAGACCTATCAGTTCGATCCAGATATATATATTGACGGGGATTTGGAATATTTTATTTTACTTGACGGGGTAACCAGAAGACTGGAGATGAGTGAGGTAGTGTTATCTTCATTCCAGAAGTAATTATATCACTTCAAAATAAAACTTGACAATTCGGTTTTATTTATATATAGAAAGGGAGATGAACTGGATAGAGACTGAGAAGACCGCTGAGTCAACACTACGCGTAAAGCTCTCGAGTGATACCCGAATGGGAAATGACGAGCTGAGCAGCCTTGGTTGGCATGCAGAAGATCATATAGGGAGGAAATGAAAGCTTGTCGTCAATCATGGAACCAGAAAAACAAGATTCCGGAGAACAGGGCGAGATGGAGATATGCTATTGAAGCCTTATATTCCACTCGGGACCCTAAGGAGTAAAAATTATATAGAGCTGCCGCTTTTCCAGAATTATGCCTGGCCTATGTCGCATTTATTGATAATTTCTTACAGACATCTACGTTATATATTCACTGACTCTTCCCACTTATGCATTAATCTGTCACCATTTTAAGGCACTAAGCATTTGGAAAAATAACCAACAAATACACCTACCTAAAATATCAGCTAAACTTTGCATCAGTACATTGCTGTTGGACATTCCACCATCAACAATAATTTCATTCGGTTTTTTTAATGTTATCACGGGTGTTGCTGAATTACGTCGACCAGCAGTCTTAGCTAAAGTTGCCGCTGACATAACATCATATGTTTGATAAACTGATGACCGTAGACCAGCATAAACAAGATCCGACTTATTGACATTCGATGTGATTCCACAGACTACACAACGTGCACTTTCTTGCCACCATGGACAGAATAAACCACTGAATGCTGGAACTAAATAGCATGGATCTGACTCCCCGGGTCTCTGTTGTTTGTGGACAGTGTCAGCTAACTTTTCACATTCTTCGTAGTTTTTGAATAAATCCAATTTTGTGCTTAACCATTGCATTGTAGCAGCAGCGTATGATACAGCACCCTAGTATGGAAAAAATCAATAACATTATGATCTGACAAATTTTCTAGAAGGCAATTAAAACTTCATCCAATGAATGGTTTGACGGTTTCATAAAGAAACTTAGTGATAGCTATGTCCAAATTTTGAAAGTCTTATTAAGATATGGGCTACTTAAAAAGTGGATATATAAGTAGCATATAAAACAAGATTATCAGGGAAGCAATAATTAAAGCTACACCCTATACAATGTCAAAGTGGGAAAGAAGTAAAAGTAAATAAATTTGACAAATAATTACCTGTATCGCAAAGTTTCTGGCGGTAAGGTGATGGTGATATGTAGCTGAACAAATTTCTACTAATGAAAGCGAATTTGAAGTGGACATTAACTGACTGATATTTCAGTGTACAGAGCAATCAATAATCGGTAGTTCAACACTGGAGAGAAAAGCATGCAATCAGTCAATGGTTGACACAGGATCTGTAAACTAGATATTTGATCAATATCATATGATTGGATTTTTATAGATACACGCTATCCAGTTCAATGGCACAATGTTAACCAACGACATGTGTGGTAGAGGTTTGAGTCCTGGTCGACAGATGTTCGAACCAGCTTCTTTCTGTTCGCTAGCAAATAGTAAGCATAGTGAAGAAAGAAGATTGGGCGAGAGGCTAGCAAACCCATCCCAATAAAAACAGCACTATTGCTACTGAGACCTCACAGCTTGATGCCCTATGTTCAGATTGGAACACAAAGAATGAATATAGTTTCGGTAAAGTTAAACTTTAAGCACCACCAATTACCAATCAGTGAATGACCTCGAAAACACCAATCACGTGAAGGAGGCATTTTTGTGTATGGAATACATGTATTTATGAAAAAAAATGCATTAAAACTGTATAAAAGTGTTACAGAGGATACTTGTCTCTCACATTTGATAAAAGTAATTCTCATTTTTAAGTGGGATTATCAACAGAGTATAATCCCATTATGGGTAAAATTTATTTTGATAAAGTTTCACAGTGTTATGCAGTAATATTTACTGGTGACGTTTCGAGCACAGTTTATTGCCTAGTAAATGTTACTGCATAATTATGCGTAACGATTTTGGTAAAGTCTTAGTGTAAACACTGCAGTGCACAACTTCTCTTCTTATATCAACAGAGTAATTTAACCACATTCTATGCATGTAATTATTGAGGTCTTCTTACCCTAACAATAAATTCAATCTTTCCTGAACCTAACTCTTACGTGAAAATATCCCCAAACTAACTGTAATCTAACTCGAACCAACCCTAATGTCAACTTTATTAGGTTAACCTAACCCTAAATTGTCCTTGGCTTAAACCATAACTTAATCTTTCCCAAACCTAACGTGAAACTTTCCAGACATCCCATTTAATAACATAACTCTCCGAAGAGTATATTTTATTGGTGATGACAACATTATTTGCGAGGTTTCACTAACTTGCTCGGTATGCATTTCAAGGTCACTGGTGCGGCCGCACTCCATTGGTTGTCAGTGATGCTTAAAGTTTAACTTAGCTATAGTTTCATATCTTAAAACTGTAATTCACTGGTCATGTGAAGTGAGTACATAATTAACTGTAATTTTTGGTCTTATCGTCTTACCCCTGGAACAATCAATCAGTCTTTCGTATCCTCCTAAATAAAAATTTTTAGGATAAATCAATTATTTGGGAAATGCATCATTTTTCCCCCCGAAAACTCCTAAAACCCCAAAATTCCCCCAAAAGCCCCTAAACGTTCTCCAAAATTTTTCATTTGGGTTCTTACTGTTGGAGTAGCTGTCGGGTAATCAGTCATATATTGTCGAGCGTTGAAGTAACAGTACACCGAATGTAAATCCAGTATTATCTGGGTTATAACAAGGAGTTATGTGAGTCCATCCTTTTGTGCTCCTATTGAGCTGATTAAATTGGATGTTGTAAGCGTGTTCTTCAGAACAGCCTAGCTAAATACTACCCGGCTTCTTCGGTGAAAGAAGACCATTGGATGACAATTTTTTCTACTTTTAAACACCTTCTTGAATTGAACCCACATGGATTAAATTCAGACACTCAAAAAGTTTACGTTTTCACAACATACCTAAACCACCGAATGTACATGTTAAACCACTTATTTACCATGGTTTTATTTTTTCTGTAGGTTAGAGTGATTTTTGGATTTCATCATGAATTGACACCGGTTAGAGAACCATTGGAAAACCTGGGAGTACTGGACAGCTGTTTCATCCCGGTTTGGGACTCTTCACAGTACGCATGCACTGAGGTTTGAACCCAGCCTCTGGGACAGATCCAATGGTCTATGAACTTCAACTTCTGCCAATTCATGATATAGCATGGCCATTAGCGAATGTCATCGCTGGCGAGTATTTGTCCTCAAACCCAACCTGCTGTACCCCACACGTCACGACTTCCCATCAGAATCCAGCTAACTACCTACCTGAATAGCGCCAGTCACTAGTGTTTCTAGTTCATTTTATCTTCGCCTTCATTGTTTTCAATTTTTGACATCACACATGACTTACTTTAAGTCTCTTAATACCAATACACTTACTTATTCATTAATCTATTATACTATTTATTGCCCATCGTTTAATGTATTTCATCCTCCCACTTATTAGCTAAATGTTATTTGTTTACTTTCACTTTCTGTCACGCTTGTTTTTTGTTATTCTGTTGCGCTTTTCTTAAATATTCACGTGACATCATACGAATTTATTTCGATAGGTTAAACATTTTATTTTCATGAAAAAAACATTTCTCTAAGCGGTGAAAAGTTATTTTTCTTCATTTTCCGAATGTTTATAAGATTATTTACCAGTTGAAATTAGGTAGTTATTTTTGATAAATGGATGGATTCTACAGTATCATTAAAATCTATGCAGTAATGAACAATTTTCTACTCCTAGTTTGAGACAATTCATCAATGCGCATGCACATTGTCATCTCGGGATCGAATAGTGAACCTTCAGGATACAAGATCAGCGAATTGACTAGTCAGTCAATCACTTATAATCTAATGATCCATGAATTGCAGCGTATTCCAGTTTACGCCATGTAGAGTTACGACAATGGGTTCCTTGATTTTTGATAACTCTGCAGATGACAACAATTCGTGAAATCAACCAAATTGATACAACCCAAAACTTGAAATTTTATAGAA